AGATTTTCTTGAGTAGGCATTGTCCTATTTGGTATGGTTATGGAGGTGGTTTGAAATGGCTTGAGAGATTGTCTTACATCAACTCTGTTGTTTATCCATGGACTTCTCTCCCACTCATTGTCTACTGTTCTCTCCCAGCTATCTGTCTTCTCACAGGCAAATTCATTGTTCCTGAGGTAATACAATCTTCTTGAGCTCTATCTCAAAGTAGTTATTGTCCTAATGCAAAAATGATTATGTTTTAAAACCTGAATAATGGTTCTTGTTTTTTGCAGATAAGCAACTATGCGAGTATCCTCTTCATGGCACTCTTCTCGTCCATTGCAGTAACTGGTGTTCTTGAGATGCAATGGGGCAAAGTTGGGATCGATGATTGGTGGAGAAATGAACAGTTTTGGGTCATTGGAGGTGTATCTGCTCATCTGTTCGCTCTCTTCCAAGGTCTACTCAAGGTTCTTGCTGGTGTGGACACTAACTTCACAGTCACGTCAAAAGCAGCTGATGATGGAGAGTTCTCAGACCTTTACCTCTTCAAGTGGACTTCACTTCTCATCCCTCCAACGACTCTTCTCATCATAAACGTCATTGGAATCGTAGTTGGGATCTCTGATGCTATAAGCAATGGATATGACTCATGGGGACCGCTTTTTGGAAGGTTGTTCTTTGCACTTTGGGTGGTTATTCATCTTTACCCTTTCCTTAAAGGTTTGCTTGGGAAGCAAGATAGAATGCCGACCATTATTGTCGTCTGGTCCATCCTCCTGGCTTCTATTCTTACACTTCTTTGGGTGAGGGTTAATCCGTTTGTGGCCAAAGGTGGTCCTATTCTCGAGATATGTGGTTTGGACTGCTTGTGATTTGATCCAATGTTGGTGAAAAAGAGTTTGAGTGAGTCCCACTGATCAAGTGAAGTAAAACAGAGAAAGAGACTATCTACACTCTTAAAGACTCATTTCATTGTGTTCATTAAATGAAACAAGAAAAATATTTTAATTTTGTTTACGTGAATGTTATTTTTGCAAGAATGTGTTGTAGATAGAAGAAGTTTGTTGTCTATTTGTTTTGTTCTTTGGTGTTAAGAGAACAGATTTGTCAAGTTATTCTTTAATTGAATATTCTGATCTCTTCTGAATATTATATAAGAGGTGTTAGACTGTTCTGTAATCTCTTATGAAAAGAAGTTTGATTTACTTTCATTTAAAATAATGTCATCCATGGTAATTCAGGATTGAAACTTTTAACGCATATCTTTTTGTATCAAGATCACTAAATAAGATACATTTTGTCAAAACGCATGCTAACCAACATCATTTAAAAGTAAAAACAATCAACAATTTTCTTTAAAACATACTTTTTCATTTATGAAGCAATTGAAAATAAATCAATTATATTTTTGTTTTTTTTTCCAGTTAAACGAATAAACTCATAATATATCACTCAATTTTAATATTAAATTGATGTGATAAATCTAAACTAAATATTTTCAAAAAAAAATACAGTGAAACTTTTATAAATTAATAATTTTGGGACTACAATAAAACTATATTTTTTTTATTAATTTATCAATATACCAATTAAATCAAAAATTCTATTTAGGACTATAAAATTATATTATTTTATAAAAATTTTTAGTATATACTAATTTATAGATTAAATAAAATGACATTTTTTTGATTCCAAATCATTAAGTATGCCAAATATGACCACATAAAATGGTAAGTATAGAGAAATAACTTTGCTTACAAATCTGGATGATTGTACACACATTTGTTCAAAAAGAGTTATAAGAGCCAAAAGTCAGCTTGTTTGTCACATTTTTAGCATATCGACTATTAGATAATGTTTTGAAAATTAACTTTCATAGTTGTATTTAAATTGTATCTTTGTTTGCCTCAACATTTCTTCGGCACTATGAAAAGCTCACATATACGCCTCATAGTCAAATGACTTGTATAAGCATCACATGAGATTTATCATAGGAGGTACATTCTTTTTTTTTTAACATACTGAATTTATTGCTCTTTGATTTCTTCTGGTGTTCTATATTGTTACATTTTATTCGGTTTTCTAGATAGGTTTCACTTCCCTTTTGACTTTCTTATAAAAATTCAGGTTGTTATTGCTCGGATCTGACTAAATTTTAGAGTTTGTTGAATGTCTTTGACTTTGCTGATGTTTTTATTAGTTTTTCTCTTATAACTCCAATTTTTTTCTGATTGATGGTATGTACCTATATGCCTTAAATAATTTTTTTTCATTTAACACATGCGCTGTTTGGAAGTAGTCTTGGAGGTATTCCAAGAGGTGGCGGTCGTGGTTCTCAGCTGATTCTGATCCTTGCTCGTGATCGTGGCCATGGAACTGAGGCTTGTCCAATCGACGTCAGTAGCGGCGAGTCTGAGTCTTCACCCTTTCCACGTAAGACGGGTTACTTATGTGTTGTCAAAACCAAATATTTTCAATAGAACATATACCTATCTATTTCTTCACTTAAACAAGACGAGATCTAGAATACCGCAAACACATCTTTATTGAATAAGAAAAGATTCATAGACAATGAAAAAGTTGTTGACAAAAGAAGTTTAAGTTTAAATAAAATGACATTTCTCTTATTCCAAATATTAAGTATGCCAAATATGGCCACATAAAGTGGTAAGTATCAATAGAGAAATAACTTTGCTAGCAAATCTAGATGATTGTACATTCTTTGTTCAAAAAGAGTTATAAGAGCCAAAAGTCAGCTTGTTTGTCACATTTTTAGCATATCGACTATTAGATAATGTTTTGAAAATTAATATTATCTTAGCAATCTCTTATATTTTCTTAGATCTGATAAAGACTTTGACTAGATTGATGTTTTTAATAGTTTGGCTCTTATAACTCCAAAATTTTTCTTATGTATTGACTTTTATGATGCTTTTAGGATTAAATCTGATAAAGGTCATACTGTTTTGATGATGTCGTTTGTTAATTGTCTAGCTTGTGTGTAATTATTTGCCAATTCTGATTAATTGTGTGTAAATAATGGATTAAATCTGATAAAGCTCATTTTGTTTTGATGATGTCATTTGTTAGTTGTCTAGTTTGTGTGTAATTATTTACCAGTTCTGATCTTTTCGTTGCTTGTCCATTTTGATTCGTAGATTAGTTAAACAGTTCTGATTTTTCGCTTGTGTGTGTATATCACTAGCTATTTACTCGCACTGTCGAACATCCTTTAGTTTATATATACTCATATACAACTATCAAGTTACGATACCCAATTGTCAATTGTTGAGGATATTATATACTAGTGGCAACAAGTCTATTAAATCAAATTAAACATAAGTGGTAGCTATTCTTTTTTTTTTTCATACAAATATTTTTCTTTAGTCTCCTAAAGGCTAAAGATATGAAGATACACTAATAATAATAAGGGGCATTATATCGTATTGTAGCCATTTCGTTAAAAATCAGGTTAAGCTAACCAAGTTTGATACAATATTTTACTTATTTATTTTATAGAAAATGACAAGTTGATGTTAAAGGCATAATAATAAGGGGCATTATATCGTATAAACCTTAACTAATTATAGAACTGCAAGTTGAATAGATACCTTATAATAATCCTTATGCTTAATCGCCGTGTTAATGCGAATTTAACCAGAGGTTAGGTTAGGTGATAGGCGCCAACATATAGTTTCATGGTATTTTGGTTTCACATATATCATTTATTCAACAATCATTTTCTAAGTTTTAAAATTAAAAAGTGAACATGTAACGTCAGAATGTTAAATAATATTCCATTTTATTATATATCCTTTCCTATTATGCAATATATTTTAATCTTTCGAATTTATATTGAATAATGTACTAAAATTTTGAGGTGATAATGGAAAAAACATTATTGTTTTCAGCCCAAACAGATCATAAAATGTCTGAGAAAAATATGTGAAATCACTATAAGTTGACAGCGAAGAAAATCTAGTTATCACCTTTAAAGTTCATTGAGGTTGGAAAATGTATACAAAACATTTAGATTGGAGAAAGAAAAATCGAAAACGAAGAATAATACTGGGTCAAATGGTGAAAGATAAATAAACAGAAGAACACACGAAGTTAGAAGCAAGTGGGCTGCGGGTACGGCCCAAAATAAGGCACGTGCGTAGGCCTTTCACCACCAACACTGTCCAACGAAGCCTTTGACGTCGGCATGAACCAACACCGGACTCGTGCTAGAGACGCGCTTTGGTACAAGCAGGGCTTCTCTCTCAACTTGACCTTCAAGATCACCGATTAGACAAATAATAATATTTCATTTAATGGTGTTACCTATTTTTCAGCAATTCATTCTTTTGGTAACTATAAATCACCGAAGCATAAATACAGTAATGAATGTCAATGTGTTAATGTTTCCATATTTTAAGAATGTTTATATTCTTTTTTCTTTCAGAGAAATGTTATGCTTTGCAGTTTTTTTGGGTTCTTAAAAATGTTTTCACACATGTAACCCAAAATATCTGAAATTTTAATTATAAATATATAAATTACTGTTTGGCTTATCTGTTATTCTTACGTACTTAATTAAAAGTTAAGAATTCACTTACATGTCGATGCAATTAAATATCACCCACAAGTTGCAAAAAGTGTTAGATTCGTTTCATATTGACCAGAATCATCAAAACCAAGTTTCCTTTCGTTAGTATAGTTCAAATTTATAAGATAAAGTTATTAACTTAAATTTTACAAGATACTATATATAAAAAAACTAAAAGAGAGCAGCCGACTCTTTTCATTTGGCGGCGCTGAGCTAAGAAAAAAGTTTTCACAACAAAATATTTGTATATCTATCAGCTTAAACCTCGTCTCTTGTCTTAAAAACATCTGATAAACCTCTGCCTTTCTATACAGAGTTTTCTTTCCCTCTAAGAAAAAAAACAATAGAATATATATATTTTTTTTTTAGTTTTGTGGGTTTATAAGCTTCAAGTTTCAGGGGAGGATTAGAAGGAGAGATTTGTATGTGTGCCTTAAAAGTGGCAAATCAGGACGATAACGTTGGTAAAAAAAACGAGCCTACCACTCGTGAAGATGATGATCACCGGACGTTATCTGACATCGATCAATGGCTTTATTTATTTGCGGCGGAAGACGAGCACCTTCACCGTGATAACGCCCTCACGCCACCGTCCTCTTCTCTTAGTATTAGCAGAGAGAAGGAGATGTCTGCAATAGTCTCTGCTTTGACACATGTGGTGGCTGGAAATGTTCCAACTCATCAATACGGTGGTGGTGGTGGTGGCGGGGGAGAAGGTACTTCGAATTCCTCTTCTTCCTCCGGACAGAAAAGGAGGAGAGAGGAGGAGGAAAGCGGTGGCGGAAAAGCAGTCAAGGCAGCTAATACTTTGACGGTTGATCAATATTTCTCAGGTGGTAGTTCCAGAGGTAAATTTTTCTCTTTTTATAATTGCACCATCGGATTAGGTTTGAATTGTCTCACGTGTATGGTGGATTCTAAAAACATAAAAAGCTATTTTCCCTTATTTTTTTCAGAACTACAAATGAATCGTGAGATTTTGATTTTGAAATTATTTATTATGGCTTGTTTTAAAAATAAATATGTGATGTAATATGTTAATATTCGTCAAGTGCATGCGTCACATCATATAATTCTTTCACAAAATCTAAATAGTTGCTCTTTGTTGTGTGTTTACTTATTTATTTTAGTGAAAAGTTTCTCATTTCACGCAATATACCGAACCACATAATCACAATGTTCTTTGTTTTTTGTTGTTGTTTCCGCTATAAATTCCATGTGTTTGCAAGTGTTTAGTTTTTTTCGGAAAAAAAAGAGTTAAGTTTAATATTTCTTAAATTATTTAAGTAACTAGAAATTCATGTAAGGGAAGTAGTGTTGATAGAAGAAGATATGAAACATAAACAACAACGAAAGTGTACAAGACATATGCTTTTGGATTATAATAATAAGATCGGATAATAAACTAGTGATGATGATATGCCAAAAGAATCTATCTCCAAGAGTCGTTTTCCACTTGCATTTTTTACTACTTGTTCATTGCTTTTTGTCACCCATTTGGCCTCATCACTTTGTCACTATCACTCAACACTCTTTTTGTTTTTGTTTTTAAGGACTTTCTCGTTATAACATTATTATTCTACTTGTTTTAAAGAGAGTTAATTCGTGAGTCAAAACAAAAATGTGAATTTTATATGTTTTTTTTTTGCTCAGTGGGAGAAGCTTCGAGCAACATGTCTGGTTCAGTCCCAACATATGAATACACAACTAATGCTAATACCGAAACGTCATCGTTTAGTGGGGACCAACCTCGAAGAAGATACAGAGGAGTGAGACAAAGACCGTGGGGAAAATGGGCGGCTGAGATTCGAGATCCTTTCAAAGCGGCTAGAGTTTGGCTTGGTACGTTCGACAATGCTGAATCAGCTGCAAGAGCTTATGACGAAGCTGCTCTTCGGTTTAGAGGCAACAAAGCCAAACTCAACTTCCCTGAAAACGTTAAACTCGTTAGACCCGCTTCAACCGCTACAACAACACCATCTTTACCGCAAATCGCTGTTCAGAGAGCAACACAGTTAAGGAACTCGGGCTCTACAAGTACCCTTCTGCCCATAAGACCTGCTTCAGATCAAAACGTTCATTCTCAGCCGTTGATGCAATCTTACAACTTGAGTTACTCAGAGATGGCTCGTCAACACCATCAACAATCTATGAACTTATATGATCCAATGTTACGTTTTGGTCAGACCGGGGGCTTAACCATGCAGTCCACGTCAACTTCTTCGTCTCATTCTCGTCCCCTGTTTTCTCCAGCATCGGTTCAACCAAAGCCGGAATCAGCTAGCGAAACCGATTATCTCCCGGACCTACAATGGTCATCAGAGGCTGGTAATAATAGTAACAACTATAATAATAGTCCATCCTCCTCCTGATGCAACGGCTTCACTTCTTGTTTTTTTACTTTACTGTTTTGTTATAGAAAAAGAGAAAAATGATTCATTATATTTGTTTAGGTTTTTGTATTGTTTTTTTCCCTTTCTTTTCAGTTTTTATCATAATTTTTATAATAATTGGTTGTAAAAAAAATTATAATGCAGTAGGGAAAATTAAGAGTTGTGTGTTATGCGTTAAAAGGTTTCCGTAAATATTACAACACAGAAAATTTCTGATGTACGTGAACCAAACAAAGGCAACAAAACTCTGTGAAAGAACTTTAGGACAGTGACAACAACTCGGCCCATTTAGAAAACACTTGGCCTACAAAAACTGATGTCTTTACTATTGTGGAAGAAGATTTTGATTACGATTTTACTATTGTGGAAGAATTCAAATAGGACTATTTTGTCTGCTCACCGCCTTCATCGTCGTTCTTCTCATAAAAAAAAAAAATTCAGTTCAAAAAGATGTGTGCATAATGAAAAACTACGTTCATTTTCATCTTCATCTTCCTGAAAACTATTAAACATTTTGAGAGGTAAGAGTCAATACAACATGGCGACATACTTTAATTGATACATTAATTATTTATTTAATTGTTTTTGATAGTTGATTTCACCGGTTGAATACACATGAAGATAATATAGAAATATTATATATAAGAATCAGGTTGTATAGCAGTATAGGTGATATAGGTGATGTGGGTTTTTTTATTAAGCAATGAATTATAATTTGTTTGAAGTTTATACAATACAATTTCCCTAAATAAAACACACACAACTAAACATTGGAAAAGAAAAGTTATGTTGAAACACCTTTACATTGAAAAAATTGTTTAATTTGCAACCAAAATCAATATTAGATACTGCTATTAACAACTCGACCAATTTAAGATATACTCTCTACACTAAAAAAAGCACTAACTGATTCCAAATCTCCGAAAAACACACCTGTATTAACTCGTGATTCTTCCTAAATATAGAAATTTATTTTAAGCTTAAAACCTTTCACTAATAACAACCTAAAAACATCTTTAGTTATTAAAACAACAACGACCACCCAAAGACACATAGAAAAGAAATTCACCGACTGTAAAGAAAGACAACACACAACAATCAATCAAAGAAGGCAGACACATCTTCGAGATCAAACAAAACCAATCTCTCATTCATCGTCGCCTTCTCAACATGGCCGGAAGAGCAGCCATGCTCGTTAACGTCGGGATGGTTGTAATGACCGTTTTGACCCTGGCTAGTTTTGTCGAAGGCTTCGGTGTGAATTGGGGTAATATCGCATCACATCCGCTGAATCCTGATATTGTTGTTAGAATGCTTAAGGAGAACAAGATCAATAAAGTAAAGCTCTTTGACGCTGATTCATGGACGATGAATGCTTTGGCCGGTTCGGGCATGGAGGTTATGGTCGGAATCCCTAATAACCTTCTTGAAACTCTAGCTGATGATTACGGTAATGCTAAAGATTGGGTCAAAGAAAATATCACGGCTTACATGCGCAAGGATGGCGTCAACATCAAGTAACTTTACTAATGATCATGTTTGAAAACTCATTAGACGTTAATCCGATGTTGGGATCAGTCTTGTGTCAGTTAGATAGATGTCTAGACAACAACTTAAACCAATTAATTAATCCCTCTTTTTTTTTTTATCTGATTGATTTAAATACCGGATTTGAAACCATCCGCTTTTAGGTGATAGACGTTTGTATACTAACTTTTATTTTGTTTAAAACAAGTAGATAAATTGTTGTAAACAAACGCCATGAAGAAAACAAAAACACTCCAGTAGAAAATAAATAAAAACCTGTACTAGTGTTTGTATATTGATTATGTAAATATAATATTTATAATTTCTTTGATCAAAATTTATGTAGCCTCAAAATCAGATATATATATATATATTTTTTTTTATATACTAAACATTTTTTATAATCTTAAAAGACACGTTGTTTCGGACTAATTCATTCACATGATTGCTATGCTATATAGGTACGTGGCTGTGGGGAATGAGCCGTTCTTGTCAGCATACAATGGATCATACTTGAAAACAACGTTTCCAGCTTTGAAGAACATTCACAGGGCGTTAAAAGAAGCTGGACATACCAATGTAATGAAAGCCACGATCCCACAAAACGCTGAAGTTTACCAATCAGCCAACGATAAGCCATCAGAAGGCGATTTCCGCAGCGATGTTAAGCAAACCATGCTCGACATTGTCAACTTCTTCCATGATAACGATTTGCCTTTCACCGTCAACATTTACCCGTTCCTTAGTCTTTATCTAAACAAACATTTTCCGGTTGAATATGCTTTTTTCGATGGTAATGGTCAGACTATTCCCGATAATGGGAAAAATTATGATAATGTGTTTGATGCGAATTACGACACGTTGGTTTATGCGTTGAATAAAGCTGGGATTAAAGATATGAAGATTATCGTTGGAGAGGTAACTTGATAAGCAATTTATTGATTATTAGATAGGTGTATCAAGTATATTGAAAGCGTTTCTTGATTTTTTTTCTTTTTTATGTATAGGTTGGGTGGCCAACGGATGGTCATAAATATGCGACTCCGAAACTAGCAGAGAAGTTCTATGCAGGACTTATGAAAAGACTTGCTAACGATGTTGGGACTCCACTGAGACCTGAGAAATTAGACGTTTATCTCTTTGGTTTACTCGACGAAGACATGAAGAGTATTCTTCCTGGACCATTTGAAAGACATTGGGGAATCTTCAGGTAATAGCTATTCAAACGTATATATATCTAGTTTCTTATATTTTTTTTTTAAATTGATTTACGTTCTAATTGTCCGATAGCATGCATGCGTTACTAAACATTACGGCAATCATTTATCAAAAGATTCAAAACCAATTCTAGCATTTAGAGTATTTCTGCAGAAACTTTTTAGTGTTTCATGAGTTTCCTTGTTCTGTTATTTCACTAATTCGATGTTCTATTATTCCACTCATCACATTATCATCATTACCAGTATCTATACGTTAAAACTACTATTTTATAACCCCTTATGTTATACTATGCTTAAACTATTACAAAAAAAATTATACCATGCTTGCATTAAGATATAATGAGGAAAAACAAAACATCATCCATTGAGCTCTCGTTACATTCACTATATTTTCAACAGATACGATGGAACACCGAAGTTTATGCTAGATTTCACGGGACAAGAACGCAAGATGGTACCCGTCGCAGCGAAAGGTGTGCAATACTTAGAGAAACAATGGTGCGTTGTGAACAAAGACACGATCAATCTAGATGAAGTTGGTCCGGACCTAGACTATGCGTGTTACCATGGTGACTGCACCGCGATGCTTTATGGGTCCACATGTAGTAACCTCGACAAAATCCAAAACATATCATACGCATTTAACATGTTTTTCCAGATTCAGGGCCAAGATGTTAGGGCTTGTGATTTCAGAGGAGCTGCTATGATTACTAAGAACAATGCATCCGTTGGAAGTTGCTTGTTCCCTATTCAGATCGTTAGTGGAAGTGACGATTTCAGGATCAGCTTTGTGTTCGGAAGATTCATTGTCGCTGGACTTATTCTTCTTGGATTAGTCACGGCTATATAATTTGTTTGTTTGTTTGTTTTTGCATTTTGGGGTATTTATTCTATTTCGGTTAATTGTTATATATTGTTCGTTTGATAACATTTGAGTTAGTACTCCTATATGTTTAATAGATCGACACAATCATACCATATCACGTTTATAGATATAGTTATTTTTCCCCAGTTTCAATTTTGATTTGTATATATGCTCAACTGTTCAATTATATCGTCATTTCACAAATTTTCTGTTAATAAAAATATATTATTATGCGCTTTCACCGTTCCATTAATTTTTAAAAATATCATTTTTGAATTATATTATTAAACAGATATTTACATCCTTTATGTTCTAGATATAAATATTTTGCAGACTTTGTGTGACATCCAATGGAATTAAAGCCATGGTCATGGCGATAAATGCGGGTTAGTGGGAGTACTAAATGCTATCCGCAAGAAAGATGTCAATATATTACCCAATGCGTTCATATTTTAGGATTTTGACATTGTATGTATAATTTTTTTAACTTGTAAGTTGTAAGAATCCTCTATATATTAAAGGAAAAACATTACAATATTTTTTTATAGCCACGTGTTATCAGCACAATCATGCTTAGAATTCTTAGAAAAATATATTGGTCGATCAAAATATATAATAAGCTTTTTATTAAATTAATTATAAATAACTTATTAATGTTTTTCCTTGTTTCCTTAAATAAAAATAACAGAATTGCCAGATATAATTAAAAAATATATGACAATTAATGATTTTCAATAATAAAAAATTTGATAAAAATTAGTGTGTTTTAAATTCTAACTTATTAAAATAAATTAAACAACTACATTAACTATATAATAAAAGTTTAGATTTTTTTCGTATATGCTGTACTTTGAATTTTTAAAACGACTATAAATGACTAAAGTTGTTAATAAATCTCACATTAAAATATTTTTGATCCATGTATAATTTTTTTATAACAAAATAAAAATGATTACAAAATTATATAAGCAAGAAGTCTCATTTAATATATATATATCAAAATAAATTATGTACCATATAAAAATATAGATGTCTTTTTAATTTCTAATTTTCTTTGATTTGTTTTTGATAGAATTTTGAACAAATATTGACAACTTAATATTTGATTTTAAACTTTGCATAATGTTTTAAAATTATAAATTACTAAAAATTGTTAAACATCCCACACACAAAAATTGGTATCAGTGATTTAAAATATTTGGTATAAAAATATAAAAATTAACAAAAAATAATATGAATATAAACTATAATTTAATCGATATCAATATCAAGAATGTATTATATTTCTACGATAAAATCATTTAAACTTAATCATATATCATATAAAACAGAAAAAATCTGTTTAAATTAATAAAAAATATTTATAT